TGTCCAAGGGTCGCTGAGCCCACAAAACAGAAACATTTATTTTGTAAGGGAATTTGCCTCCAAGAAAAGAATACTGAGAAGATGTTTCCTCATCTCGTATGTTCCGTTATGGCAGCCTATTCAAAATGAATGGGGCATCAACACACCCTAATGTGCCTAAAAAAGTACACAACCCTTTGTATACCAACTTGTCACACTGCATTGCATTGGGGTGCCATTCAAAATGAATGGTACGCTCATGTTTATGCCACACAGAATTGTAAATGGGTCCAGCGTAATACTAATTCAGGGATAAGCACAGGGCGTCCCAAGGTGTGGTGTGACCTGGAGAGGCCCCTGGGTGACACCCCGCCATTACATCATCACGCACGCGCAATGTTATCGCACACAAGCTGTCGTCACGCGCTGTTACCTGCCGCTGCCATCTTGGTGATGGATGCCGGCAGAGAAGAGGGGACATTCCCCCAGCGGGATAAGCTATGCCTTCAGGTCCCTCCTCTCTGGAGTTCCCGGATCTGTTCACCTTCAGTGCTCATTATAAGGTGTTCCCACCATCTCTGTGATTAATTCCCGGCTCTGCACACCTGCTGTGGCCACTATGAGGGGCTTCCATCATCCCTGTGCTGCGTTCCTGGGTCTACACCCCTGCTGTGCCCATTGTGAGGGGTTCCCACCATCCCTGTGCTGAGTTCCTGGCTCTGCACACCTGCTGTGCCCATTATGAGGGGTTCCCACCATCCCTGTGCACACTTGCTGTACTCGTAAGGGTTCCCCCCATCCCTGCTGGATTTCACTTTTATTTTATATTATGGAGAAAGTAAGAGGAGGAGCCAGAACACCCGAAGCTCCCAGGTGGACAGGGGTAGACCCAGGAATTATGGCAGGGAGATCTCACTGTTGGAGCATCCAAAACATATAAGAAGCCAGGAGCTGACTCAACCTGCCAGGCTCTAATGGAAACTAAAATATCCCTTTTGGTTGGATGGGTCCATTAAGATGAATGCAGTAAGAGAAATGAGGTATAGACTGAGTGGCCAGATTTTTATGACCACCTGACGTTTGTAGGCAAATTAGCTATAGCTGAAGTTGCTAGAGGGCCAGACCATTATAAATAGTGAAGCAGGTTGTTTACCATGACAGTAGAAGTGATTTCTTTCTGAAGATACGGGGAAACAATGCGATTTAACAGCCTTTGAACGTGGGGTGATTGTTGGCACGGAGCCAGGAGCGAGTATCAGCAAAACGGCAGAATTTGTTAAATGTTCAAGCAGCTGTTGTTAAAGTGTTTAAAGACTGGACTGTGAGCCGAAAATCTGGGTCTGAACGTGCAAATTGTGGCCGTCAGCAACTAGTCAATGTTAGGGCAGAACGGAGAGTGGCAAGACTGGTACAAGACAACAGAAGGGCAACAGTGCAGTGTCAGATTCCTCGCATCACCTTTCAACATCTCGTGGAGTTACGAGGCGGCCCAACGAAGTCATCTCGTTGAGTCATCTCGTGGCCCAACGAAGTACTGATGGGGTGGTCATAATAATCTGGCCACTCAGTGTATTTACTGATTTAAGAAAAAGTTGAATCTCTGCTCACTCACACCCCTGGATTTCACCACATTCATTGGCAATTTGCCAGCATTCAGAATGTACAACTGAATTTAGGAATTAGGGAGGACTTCTCATTTAGATATGGTTTAGTCTTTTCTATGACTGGCATTCCATGAGAAGAGGATATTTAGAGAAAATGGAACATTCCTGCCTAATATAGAGCCGTAACTTCTATATTGGGCTGTAGACGGAGCACAAACACTCGCAGAGACTGTCTTATCTCAGCCGAATTTCTGGAAAACGTCCCCTTATCAAAATAGGCCTGTCCGCGTATTAGTTACCTCTTGGGTCCATTGTAGGACTTGGAGAGCGTCCTGCGGGAAATTCCGGTGAAATATGATGCTTCTATATAATCTATAGAGATACGAACTGTCTGTGCAGAGGCGTGGACTCAACACATGCCAAAAGCACTATGTGAACCCAGCCGGTGATGAATGCCATCCATGCAAGGATATCATCTTTTATGTATACACTGACAACATTATGACCACCCACCTAATATTGAGCAAATCCTCTTATGCCTTGACCCGTCAAAGTATGGACGACACTAGACCTTTGAAGATATGCTGTAGTATCCGGCACCAGGCCGTCAGTAACAGATCCTTTAAGTTGCGAGGTTGGTTCTCCATGGATTGGACTTGCTTTTCCGGCACATCTCACAGATACTCCATTTGATTGAGATCTGGGGAATCTGGAGGAAAGGTCAACACCAAAAACTCCTGACCACTGCAGACCCGAAATATCCAACAAGAGCTGCAGTTTTGGAGTTGCTCTGACCTAGTCGTCTAGACATCACAATTTGGCCCTTGTCAAAGCCACTCAAATCCTTACCTTTCTTTGTCCATTTTTTTTGGTTTCCAACACATCAACTTCAGGGACAAAGAGGGTTATTCACAAAGCTGCCGAAGCTGTTCGGCTATTCGCTTCTAGCATGTACAGCTGATCACAGCCATACATCGGCTGCACTTCGGTCAGCCGAACATGCTCTACATGTTTGGTTGAGCCATAGTGCATAAGGACTTCAACTCAGTCGATCCAACATCTGGATATGCTGAGCCGAGGCCCCAGCAGCTCACACGCTGCCGTTCGCCCCTATTCTCATAGGGGCCAAACGGCAGTGAGTGAATAGCTGAATGCCGCAGAACGGCATTTGGCTCGGTTTTTCCGCCTAGCTGTCATTTGCAGGGCCTTTGGCCGTCACTTCGGCGCAGTTGAGCCAAACCATATGCCTTCTGCTGCTGTACGGGCTATTGTGATTAGCCCGTAAACCGAAGAGGTCCAGCGGCCGAAGAGAGCCGAAGCTACGGCTGGATCCTTCGTGAATAACCCTGTAAATGTTTGCTTGCTGCTCAATATATCCTGCCCACTTCCAAGTGCCATTGTAACCAATCAATGTTATTCCCCTCTCAGTGGTCATAATGTTCATGGCTGATCGGTGTATATTCCATAGCTTGGAAGGTTCTCCTTCATCCAGGTCATGGTATAGCTGTAAAAAAATAAATCAAAGTAAATGGACTTGCTGGTTTTTTTTCTCGTGAAGAAATTTTGCTGGTCATCTCTAACTACCGTATATACTCGAGTATAAGCCGTCCCGAATATAAGCCGAGGTACCTACTGGATTGTTCAGAGAAGTCCTGTTGCTTTGGGTTATTTTTAAAAAAAGACATATTCCATATCGTCCATAGATAACATACTGTAAATTGTTAAACTTAATTCTAGGCAGACAGACACTCATTATTTCAGCTCCATAATCATTAAATTCATTTTTTTTATGCAAGCAGTGCGTAAGTACCTGAAATTGAGTGCCTAGTATCAGCCACTTGCAGCCCCTGTACAGCAGCGGTGGAGTGTGAGAAGCAGTACAAGGAGTCTGTGTAATGTGTGTTGAGATTAAATGGAGTTCAGGAGCCTAGGAAATAAATACCTATATACTTATTTCCTATGCTCTTCAGCTTCATCTAGTGGCCATAATGTGGCATTATATTACGTTCAACCTGAAAAGAAAATATAGGAAGTACCAAGAACGTTTGCTTTTGCCTCCATTCACACAGAATGAATATTTTTCAGAGATTCGCAGGGCAAATGACTCTGCAAATTGTATATAAAGTGTTATTTTATTGAAAGTCGCAAGCAGGCACAGCCTACATCAAAGTGGGAACTCTGAATTCAGGAGCATTGCAGCATCGTTGCTGACATCACAGGAAGCTGTATTAGGTGGACATCACTGGCAGGAGAGCAACCGTATTTATGGAACTTTGCAGGGGGTTTAAGAGAAACTGGTTAGTGCAGATGCAGTAATAATTAAGTGCTGCAGCATATGTTTTTTTATTCAATGGCCGTAGTTCTGCTGTAATAGCCGGAGGGTACAATGCGTACAGCTCATCTATAGAATAAATGGGGCCGGAGCACAGGCCCAGTGCCAGAATAGGACCTGGCCTAAACAATCACTTTGCAGAGGCTGTGTAGTGCCAGGCAGGCGCACATAGAATAGATCAGGAGGGAGGGGGTGGGGAGGAAACCCACACGCTCTTTCACTCCAGCGAGTACTAAATAACCATCCCCCGCAAGGACGGTTCTTTTCCCCACCGAAAACTGATAAGAACAGATACTACACTTGATCTTAGCCAAAAGGCCGAGAAGAAAATGCTTCTAATTAATATATACATTTTTGTACCATTTATTTTATTAGCAAAAAAAAATAACAAACAATTCTACATCATAAAGAAACAATGCTTCCATTGCACATTTGTGCAGTGGCTGTGAAATCCATAAGCAATCACATCTGGAGCGTCAAACCTAAAATATGAGCTAGGCACCTAAGGACAGTGATGACAGACAAGGGAGGAGGGGGTGACACTGTTAGGCCCCATTCACACCTAAGCATATTGTCGCAGCTGGTTCAGCTCGACAAAATGCTCAACCCCAGGAATCCCATTCTTATCTATGGCCCTTGTCGTGCAAACTAGTACATGAGCTACTTTGGGGCAGATTTCAGCATGTTTTGTCCCTACAGACTTAATAGAAAACATGCGTTGAGATTAATTTTGTGCGCGTTTTGCCCATTCACATGAATGTACAAAAATCTGCACACAAAAACTCGCGACTTAACATGTGTGTAGAACACGCGCAAAAACCACACAAAAAACCCCCCCACATTAATAGGTGGAGGGACAACAGAAGATTTTTGTTAATGCAGTTATATTAGAACTCTTTTTCATGCAGAAACGGGTTGATAGATGATATCTTAGCAGCAGATGAGGTTATTTAAAAAGGAAAATGTTTTCCAGACATATCTAACATATAAAGGGGAGGGTAGAGTCCTCATAACACAAGGTGGCATTCTCATATGTTATTGCATTGGCGATGCACAAGCTTGCAAGGCTGAGCAGAGTGCTCCCTATCGTCTAGGATCAGTTCTCAGGAGGAAGGAGGAACACTGCCCTCTAGTGTTAGCTCTCTGTAAGTGGCTGAGGGAGGATGCAGCTCCTGGTCTTCAGCTGGGACTGAGCAATATCAGCCAGGGCAGATTGGATCTTTTCCAGCAACATGTCCCCTCGGTAGACCACCTCCTCCAGACGAGCTGCGGCAGCATGGTTCTCCTCTTCTAGCTGATACAGACTGGCAGCCTTTAGAGAATCAGATCAAGAAAATGAAAACGTGACAAAGTCTAACATCGGAGCATAAGATATCAGTCTGATAAATCAATTTAAAACATACAACCGGACGTTTATCTTTTATACCAGCAACCCCATGTGATGCATAAAAAACTGAACACAACTGGATATCTACATTTAAAGATTGTTGCCTGAACTCAGGTTATCCTTTTATTGTATCTAAAGCCAAAAAAAATTCTGTAGTTTTGTTTTAGAGTAGAGAGGGCATCTGTGTCCCCGTTAGGTAGATTCCCCCTCACTATTTGTCCAATTGACCATTGTCACCAGGACTAAAAGTCATGAAACTCCAGAATCCCAATTCTGAGTTGTCACCAGAACAGGAAGAGAGGGGAAATCTTCCATTGGGGACAACGGTTCTGATTACATTCTGAAGGGATTTTCCTCACTTTGGAAAGATTCTCACTAATTTCCTGTTGTGTCCCTAATACAGGCAGAGGAGGGAAAACATTTCACAGGGGTTTAACCCTTCACTACCCTAGCCAAAACTAAAAAGAAAAGCTTTGGCTTTAGAGATATTTTAAAATATAAAGTACATTTATCCTTGTTGCCCCCTTCTCCTATCCGAACCTAACCCCTCCTTCCCCTCCACAGATGCATATTTATCTAAATCTGGTAGCTGCGGTTCCACTGCTTGTTTACATCCAGCGGTGCAAGTCTTCACTGTACTAGCCAAGCCTGGTACATTACAGCCCAACGGGACAGAGCCACATGAAGTCTGAAGCTGGCCATACACCTATAGATTATCTGCAGACTTTCTTTGATGCTGTGGTGAAGAACGAAGTTGAATATATGATTTGTTGCCGTGAGCAACAAGAAAAAAGAAATCCTGCAGGCGTTTTTTGAGACCACATTTTTTTTAACCTGAATTTCAAAGCACAATTGAACTTTAGTAAAATTAGCTAAATACGTTTCAGAGGCATCAAAACAAAAGATCTGCAAAGTCTAAAGCTGGCCATACACCTATAGATTATCTGCAGATGTTCTATGGTCAGATGGAAAAAGTGCAACAGATTCCTCCATGTACACTAAAGTGGACCAAGCTTCAGTATCTTGCTAGTCCGTCCCGCTGGCTGTCAAAATAGCTGAACAATGCCTGCATCCAATCAGATTGTTCAGGTATTTTGAGAGCCAGCGGGGCCGATTAGCAAGATACTGAAGCTAGGCCAAGCGGGAGATTCCCCCATTCACACAGTTTACTGTAGATGGAGGCATCTGTTGCACTTTTTCCATCTGACCAGAGAAAATCTATAGGTGTATGGCCAGCTTAAGTCTGGAGACCACTGGAGACGGATTCTATGGAACTGAAATGCACAGGCATGGCGAGAACAGTGAAGATTTGTGGCACTGGATGTAAACAAACAGCAGAACTGCAGCTGTCAGATCAATGCAAGTATGTATCTGTTAAGTGGGAGGGTGGGTTAGATTCAGTCACGAGAAAGGGACAAAAATGATTAACGCACTTTAACTTTTAAACTGTATCCATTGTCAAAACTTTTCAGTTTTGGTTAGCGCAGGGAAGGACCAGAGCCTCTGTCGAGGTTTTTATTGCTGTGACCCCACTGGGGAGAGTCACACACTCTTGACTTTACACATAGTATAAAGCAAGCATCTTGCAATCTGACAGTATTAGGGCCCATTCACACCAGTGCGCTGCGGTAACACATGTTCATGCCACGCCATTTATTCTGATTGGAACTCCAAAGCACCTTCCCAGTGCATTGCAAGGCAAAGCTCTACCGTGTGTTGCACTGCCAATAGTGCTGTATACCCGATTTCTGGTCTATTGTGGTGTGATATGAAACTCATTGAAATAAATGGGCTGCCTTAACACACTGCATGTTAACACACAAGGAATACACATTAATGTGTGTGCATATAACACAGCACAGCAGACCAGGCTGGTGTGAATGGTTGCTAAGGGTTAATTTGGTACATCCAAACTCCAACCAAACACCATTTCCTGAAAAAGGTGAAGACTTCACGTCATGTTTTTTTATCCTTGTGACCCCAGGAAGGGTACTGGAGGGGGCCACCTTGCCAGGCAGGCACAGATACCAATAAAATGGCATAGTGGCACTTCTGCCTTGCAGTACTGGGGGTCCCCAGTTCAAATCCTGATCAGGACACTACCTGCAAAGAATTTGCATGTTCTCCCTGCTAGCATGGGTTTCTTCCGGGTACTCCGGTTTCCTCCCAGACTCCAAAGACATGCTGGAAGGTAATTGGCTCCTGTCTAAATTGGCCCTGTATGTGGGATAGATGCCTTAGATTGTAAGCTCCTTGAGGGCAGGGACTGATGTGAATGTGCACTATGTAAAGCACCACGTTGGCACTATATAAATATCTGTAATAAATAACCTCTGAGGTTGTTCACAGGGGAAGGCAACCTCGGCACTGCAGTTGTGGTGAAACTACAAATGTCACCATGCCTGTCAAAAGTCATGCACTATGTATTGGGACTTGTAGTTCTGCAACAGCTGGAGTGCCGAGGTTGCCTACCCTTGTTTTACATTTTACTCACTCAAAAATACGTTTTTTTTTCCCCCATTGGAGAAATCTCGTTACTTTCTGTCTCCCTACAGTATGGCACTCCCTACAGTATGGGCAATTATCTCTGTGGAGCTCCTTGGATCCTACATCCAGGCTGATCTTGCCTGCTCTCTAAGTGAAGATTCAGCTCCATCCCCCCAACCTTCCACCTCTCACGTCCCGAGCCTCTACTGCCCACCAAGGTTCTGGAATGTGACAGATGGATGCAAGGTTCTGGGCCAGCAGTAGATTCTCAGAAATACTATGCACGTGCAGAAAACTCACATAGTATACAGCTTGCGTCACATACAAATATTATCACAAGCAGCCAGCAAAGGGTGGAAGGCAAATCACAATGAGATTTTCTGATATAGTATAACTGCATAAAAGAAGTCTTCTAGAAAGCTCCGTCCATCACAACATCCCAATCCCACCTGTAATGCAGCTGTGGATTCCTCACTGGGCAGGGAATCAATTAGAACATCAATGTCTTTTGCTGTCCGGGCAATGAGAGCTGCAAACAGCTGGGCGTACTCTGCAACATGAAGAGACATCCAAATTATCAAGATCCATCTGAAATACAGTTAATGCCCAAATGAACTTTCAGTTTAAATCAGCTAAATGCATTCCAGGTAGGCATGCACCGATACCAGTATCGGTGCTGAAGCCAAGTATTTGCACTTGTACTCGCCCAAATGCCCTCAAAACTTATCCTAACAGAACTTTCGGTATCAGGAAGCCGGGCGGCAAGTCATGATATGCCGCCCGGCTTCCTGATTGGCCAGAAAGCAGTCTCCATGCTTCCTTGTCACCTGGTGACGAGGAAGCATAAGATTTTACCGCTTGCCTATTATATTACACTGGGCTCATTTATACACATAGAAAGCAGAAGACGGAGATACCAATATGTTGGATCTCTGGCCCAGCCACAAGTACACTCCGTTTACCTTCTGTGGGGTTGGGTGGCTGATCCTTGTTAATGGTCGTCTGGATGTTGTTGAATGATGCAGGAGGGGCGCACTGTTGCAGCACACCGATGGCATTGCAGAACTGATCGGCGAGCTTCAAATACACAAAGGAAAAAAAGTAAAACTTTAGAGTTAGATTTTCTGTCATTTCACTAGGGATGCACAGATACCTTTCGAGTACCAGTGCAGATACTTGGCATTTTCATGAGAACTACCAGAGTGGCAGAGGTTGCAGCGCGGATCTGGCTCTGGCACTCCATCACTGTCCTGAAATCATTAGTCTGTATTGTTTTAGAAAAACTGTCACATGACAATAAACAAAAATGTATCAGTACTCATACTTGCAAGTACCAGTACTTGTACTCGCAAAACTGGTATCTGTGCATCCCTTTATTTATATTTATAAAAACAAAATCATACAACAGAGATGTACAAATCCCAGGAGCTCCGTGTGCTCCTTACAAATGACAGCTGCCTTCTAATTTTTCTCTATGGTAGTCTTGGAGCTGGAAAGTATCGGTACATGTACTGATACTTGTACCGAGTACTGTACTTGGTATCTGTGCAACCCTACATTTCACAGATGCTAAATTAGACAGAGATCAGGGAGCCTTCCAGAGCAAATGTCAGCGGACTAAGCGGTGTGACCTCCGCTATAGACGACACACCAATTTTCTCTGTATGGTCACCAAATATTCAGGGATCAATTTACACTGTCTGGCTATAAAAAAAAAGTCACACTCCAATATTTCATTGGACTGCCTTTAGCTTTGATTATGGCACACATTCGCCGTTGCATCATATCGATAAGCTTATGACATTTATTTCCACCCAGAGTTCCATTTATTTTATCACCAAGATCTTGTAGTGATGATGGGAGTTGGACCACTGCATAAAGTCTTTTCCAGCACATCCCAAAGATTCTCAATGAGGTTAAAACAGGGCTCAACAAATCCCAGACGCCATAGCGACTAGAAATTGCATCCTCTGCATCAGCTGTGCTCCCCCAATTCCCCTCCCCAGTGAAAGCCCGCTGTGGTCTGTGTTTCCCTTTCGGTCCCTGCTCCTCTTCCTGCCTGTATCAGCAGAGGTGGTGGGGATTGGATTGGACAGACTGCTTCAGCCGGGGAGGAGAGGCCGCTGTCAGCTGCTCAGCCCTCTCCCCCCCCTCCCATGAGATAGGAATAAAGTAAAGAAAAAAAAAATGTTTGCAATTACAAAAATAAATAATTAAAGTCCCTGCCCCTGCGTGCAGAAACAGTCGGATGCAACTGTGCACGAAAACTACAATTGTGCTACACATCAGGTATGCGCCAATTAAAACTGTACTTAAAAATGACAACTGTCCTTGAAAATAAAGCTTTGTTGGTTTAAAAAACAAAAACTGTCTCCTAACTTTATTTATCTGGGTCCTAGATTCAAAGCAAATTTGTCAAGCCCTGGGTTTAGGTCTGGACTATGTGATGGTCAATCCATATATGAAAATGATGTCTCATGTTCCCTGAACCAATCTTTCACAGTTTGAGCCCGATGAATCCTGGCATTGTCATCTTGGAATATGTCCAACGTGCCGTCAGGGAAGAAAAAAAATCCATTGATGGAAAAGCCTGGTCATTCCGTATATTGAGGTAGGCAGCTGACCCTTATTTTTTTGGACACAAAAAATTGCTAAACCTAGACCTGACCAACTGAAGCAACCCCAGATCATAACACTGGCCCCTCAGGCTCGTATTGTAGGCATGATGGGTGCATTCCTTCATCCGCCTCTCTTCTTACCTTGATGCGCCCATCACTCTGGGACAGGGTAAATAATGGACTCCTCAGACTAAATGACCTGTTTCCATTGCTCCAAAGTCCAATCTTTATGCTCCCTAGTAAATGGAAGCCCTTTTTTAAACCCACCCTGATGAGTGGTTTTCCTAAGGCTACACAGCCGTTTAGCCCCAATCCCTTTCCATTCTCTTCACATTGTGGGTGAGGAAATACTTTAAACTTTCACATTTAAACATTGCGCTGAGTTCAACCGTTCCTTTTTTACAATTTGATTTCACCAAACGTTTTAAACCCCCTTTTACAGGGGCTGATCAGGAGTGGATCCGTGCACCAATCCTCTCCTGATCACAGCAGTATGGAGCGAATGTCTGCGCCGTGACATCCATGTCTGCACAGTTTTTTCATCGATCTTGAGGTGGGAGGAAAAAAACTGAAACTGCCGGACCCCATGTCTGTCTATGGGGAATCTGATGTAAACGGACATGTGTCTGTTTACATCAGATTACCCCCGAACCGGCACACTCTGGTCTGGCGAAACGGAACACTGTTCCGTCTGTTTTTTCTGAACCAGCTGGAGCCGGGGGTAACTGGGTGTAAAAGGTCGCCCATTTGTTTACCCACGGCTGCCCAAAGACTTGCATTGGGCATCCGATCAGGTCCGCCTAAAAAAAAAAAACAGACAGGCGGACCTGATCGGAGCGGCCATCTAAAAGGGGCCTCAGTAATCTCCGATCAAGATCTTTCAGGATTTTTTTCTGACCACATTTCTTCCTCACAGATGACTCACCACTATCCTGCCAGGTTTAATAATGCGTTGGGACAGTTCTTAGCCTGATTTTATCCGTTTCAGCAATCTCCACAGTTTCTTTGCGTGATGCAGGCCAATAATTTGACCCTTGTGGAGCAGAAGGTGTTTTCCGTGACCACAGGACATTCGGACATGGTTGTTTAAGAAATGAGAAGCTGCTCACTGCATCAGGTAGGGTTAAATAATTTGCTGCCAGCTGAGACATATTAATCACTTCAGGAATTATCCAATGGAAGGCTCTGAATTATCGGCTGAGCTGAATCCAGATGGTGACTTTTCTTTTTGGCCAGGCTGTGTATAACACAGAACAGATATTGCTTTCTGGAGGAATTTGTGGTGATTAGACCTTGATGCACCTACATTTCTTATATAAAGAGGTCAGCGCCGCTCTCTGTATCCTAACACCATGATGACACCTCCTCAGGGGGTAGGACCAGGACCCCTTGTACTCACGTGTCCTCAGCCTTCCTGTTAAAAGGAGAACTCTGAGGTGAGTGATTTTCACTCAGCCGACCTGTGACAATGAGACTGTCACAGGTCGGCTCAGTAGATCGGGAAGGGAAGTGAGCGAACACATACCGGCGTTCGCTCACTTTTCGATCCTGTGCCAGCAGAGAGCCGTGACTGGATTCCCCCCCCTGTCCGATCCGCCAGCGCTGACTAGCGGAACGGACGGGGGAGGGGGTGGGTACAGCTGGCTCTGCCTCTAGATAGGCAGAGCCAGCTGTCACTCACGCAGCTGGGCGGATCCAGACATAATTGTCGGGATTAGAGCTGCAGCTAACGATTATTTTCAAAATCGATTAGTTAATCCGTTCCGGCTACGGCGTCTCAGTATACCGCAAGCTGTAGCTCGCGGTATACTGAGCTTAGGGTGACGGAGGACGCTAGTTTGTGTCCTCCCGTTGCCCTAAGGAGAACTATGGGGAAAAGACCTAACCCCATAGTTCTCCTTTAAATGACACCTAACATCATTAAAGCGTGAGTATATTTTGGGGCACAAAGGAAATACTGTAGGAGACAGTCTCAGTAAAGATGTGCATACCGCAGCCAAACCAACAAAATAGCCCAGAGGAGAACTTTCATTCATTCCTATGGGAAAGTTGTACTACAAGCGACAGCCATGAGTACAGCTTTCCCATAGCAATGAATGGGGACACGGTGCGCATGTGCAGTACACAGTGGCCATTTATCAGAGGAAAAACTTTGCAGCTCAAAGTGGGAGCCACGCAGTGATGATCGATCGCTTACACTCGCTTCCGGTGTATTTAACGGGTGTTGCAACATGGAGCGAGGGAACCCCCCCTTAATCAGGGGCACAGGCAGCAATAAAAACATTTTTAATAGAATGAGGATCAGTTAGAATCTTTTTCAAGATTTTAAAGCTGTCAGTGTACCCATAATAGAGATTCCCTCTCACTTCCTGTCCTGCTGACAGAACAGGAAGATCTAGCCAAAACACAAGATTTGGCTGCAGTATCCTGAGGTCAGAGAATTAGTGTAACAGCCAGGCAAATCGTATTTTCAGAAGGTGATCAGCAATGTCATCGCCCATATTCTACCACATTATAAGAAATAGGTATCTTCCACTCCTTGAAGCCCCAGGGACATACGACACTTAAAGGCCTCTTGGTGGGCCTAGGAGAAATGCCCTTATTGCCCCTTTTCCTGACACCGCGCAGGCCTGGGACAAACAGAGAGCTCAACACACCCGGCTCAGGACACAGACACCAAGCTTTCCTCCCCTCAGCCCTGGACACACCGCCAACAACTCACCGAATTCAGCGCATCCTGCAACTGAGTCAGCCGGTCCGCCATCTTTCACATTGGCAACTACACAGTTTACCCACCACAGTCACGCTCCTTCTAATTGGCTGGCGATAGCCGAGCATCCTCTGAAACCCTGCCCTTCGTTAAGACCCACCCTCCCGCTCACCTGTGGGCGTGACTCTGAAACCGCTCTCCCCTGTACATTTTCCCTTGTGGGCGTGACCCTAAACCCCGTAGATTTTTTTTCTCCTCCTCATGACGTTTCAGAAAAGCGCTGCATGCATTGCACGCACCGCAGGTTCCGAGCAGTGTGTTGGAAAGCGTTCCATAGGCCGGAAGTGGCCAGTGCCTTGTAGCGGCTGAGGCGTCCCAGGGGCCGGAAGTGCGGTGTGACTAGGGGCGGGTTTTTGCTGATGCTGGTGTAGGAGAGATGAGAGTGTGAGCGCAGCCAGGAGAGAAGGATGAGGATGGGGGACTGGTGGATCGCCACCTGGCTGCTGCTGGTGGGAGCCTGTGCAGAGGGTGAGAGACCGGACTGAACTTGTACTGAGTGTCCGCTCATACCAGGAGCGATATCTGTAACATCTCGCCGCTTCTATTGCCCTGTCACCCCCACTGAGGGGCTATCATGTCCTGTATGAGTGTGCTTTGTATTATCTATCTAGAAGCCGCAGTAGAGAAATGGGAGAGATGATATAACACAAGAAGAAATAATAGATACAATGAGGGCAATTCCTCAAAATCTGCAGCAGTTGCCCACGGCAACCAGTCAGCTCTCTTTCATTTCTCAAAGCTTAACTCAACACACTAACCAAGAGAAGCTGATTGGTTGCCATTGGCAACTGCTCCAGATTCTGTCTACTCCAGTCCTGATAAACTCACCTCAATGTATAAGATTAGTCGGGGAAGAAATCTATAGCAAAAGGCAGACATATTAGATAATAGGTTATATATTGTGTACTCTTTGTGCTGTATTATTATACTACATCATCCCTTCACTAATGCTATAGACTATCTCTTCCCTTCAGTAATATAATATATAGTTGGTGTTCTATTCTTATACTACATCATTCCTTCAGTAATGGCATATACTATCCCTTCTGTTCAGTTTTCTGTATATTTTGTGTTCTATTTTTATACTACCTCATACTACCAGTAATTGTATATATCAGGACTGGACAAATCCTAGGAGCCAGGTAGCCAACGCTCCTTAAAAATGACAGCCGGTGTCTAAAATATTAGGTTTTCTCTAGTTGCATTACTCTGTTCACCCCTGGAGTACACCTTCCCTTCTGTAATGTTATATTGTGTATATTTTTTGTTACATGTAAATAAATGTATATTTATATAAATCTATTGTGTGTGTGTGTGTGTGTGTGTGTGTGTGTATATATGTATGTATGTATGTATATATATT